GTTCTATTCCCCCCCTTCATTCCCCTCCACCCTACCCCCCCGTCCCCACCATTACCCCCCCTTTAGTTTATGACCATGTGTCTCAAGTTCTTTAGATTCTATATTTCCCATACTATTCTTGCCCCCCCATCTATTTTCTGTCTACTGTCTATGCTACTTATTTTCTGTACCTTCTCCCCCCTTCTCCTCCTCCTACACCCCTGTTGCTAACCCTCCTTGAGATCTTCATTTCTATGTTTCCACTCCTGATCTAGCTGTCCTTTTAGTTTGCTTTCGTTTTAGGTGTGGTTGTTAATAACTGTGACTTTGTTGTCCTTTCACTGTTCATGTTTTTTTAACTTCTTTTTCTTAGATAAATCCCTTTAACATTTCATAACATTTCATAAGGGCTTGGTGATGATGAACTCCTTGAATTTGATCTTATCTGAGAAGCACTTTATCTGTCCTTCCATTCTAAATGAAAGTTTTGCTGGATAGAGCAATCTTGGTTGTAGGTCTTTGGATTTCATGACTTGGAATACCTCTTTCCAGCCCCTTCTTGCCTGGAAGGTCTCTTTTGAGAAATCTGCTGACAGTCTGATGGGGACTCCTTTGTAGGTGACTGTCCCCTTAGCTCTTGCTGCTTCTAGGATTCTCTCCTTCATTTTAATCTGGGCTAATGTAATGATGATGTGCCTTGGTGTGTTTCTTCTTAGGTCCAACTTCTTTGGGACTCTCTGAGCTTCCTGGATTTCCTGGAAGTCTATTTCCTTTGCCAGATTGGGGAAATTCTTTTTTATTATTTGTTCAAATAAGTTTTCCACTGGTGGCTGTTCCTTTCCCTCTTCTGGTACCCCTATAATTCGGATGTTGGAGCGTTTAAAGATGTCCTGGAGGTTCCTAAGACTCTCCTCATTTTTTTGAATTCTTGCTTCTTCACTCTTTTCTGTTTGGCCATTATTTGCTTTCTTCTGGTCTACTCCATTGATTTGAGTCCCAGTTTCCTTTTCATCGCTATTGGTTTCCTGTGCAATTCCATTCATTTCAATTAGTTTCGCCTTCATATGTTTGTCCAATTTGTGGCTATAATCAACCAGTTCTGTGAGGATCCTGATCACCAGTGTTTTAAACTGTGTGTCTGAGATTTTTGCTATTTCTTCATTGTTTAGGTTTATAGGCTCTGGGGCTTTGAGATCTTCTTGAGCCATTTTTGGTCTGTTCTCGCCCGTTAAGTATGAGGAGCTGAGCCTTGGACTCCCAGGTCGCTGGGTTGTGACGCTGTATGTGGAGGCGGGGTCAGAGCGGGGAAATAGTGGAGCCCTCTGCTGCCCGCTTACCGCTGGGGCTGCTGGCTCCCGTCCAATCACCCACTCCCTCGCTTGTCTATCCACACATGAATGTGCGACCACAGTCAACCCGCAGCTCTGCTCCCTCGCTGTTTCCCCACGATTGCTTGCTGAGTTGCCCACCAGGTCCAACCCTGCGCCTGGATTCTGTGCGCCTGAGTCCGTCTGACCGAGTTTTCCTGTGCTACCCCGCTTTGCCAGCTGCTGGTTTCGCCCCTCTTACCGGTCAGGCTGAAGAATTTGTTGTTATCAGACTTCCGAAAAGTTCAATTTTCTGTGTTCTGGCTGTGTTTTCTGTTGCTATTATTTAGTTGTCTCTAAACTTGGTTGTGTGAGGAAGCATGGCGTCTCCACCTGTGCCTCCATCTTGGCGGAAGTCCCATGTATGGTTTTTTTTGTGAGTGGTTCTTTTTGTTTTCCAACCCCTTAAAAATGTGAAAATCGTTCTTAGTTTGTGGGCCACGTCAAAACAGGCACCCACAGACCATACTTTGCTGATTCCTGTTGTAGTGCAAGAGACTTTAATTGGCTAATTATACAGAGGAGTGTGACGTGATAAATTGAGGGAGGTGCTATGAAGGTAAAGGAGGTGGTCCCCTGAGAACATGTAACGAGAGATTGGCCCAGACTGAGGTGGTTTGGGTCATCAGGGGCAGTGATTGAGAGAGCGCTTTTCTGAACTGGTGATTAGGAGTAAATTGGGCTGAGAAAGTGTTGGGCTGTAAAAAGGCCCGAGAGAAAAGGAGTTTGGCCCATGTGAAGAATTGTAAGCAAGTTGGTGTGTCTGGGGCTGATGACATGTGACTGGGGAGATAAGTAGATTGGGACCAAGTATGGTGTGGAAGGCATGTTAGGAGTTTGGCTTTTAGTTTTGGAGCAGTTGCAATTCAACAAGGTGTTCAGTAGGGCTGAGGAAGAGGTGGTAGTAGTGGTACATGATCCAGTTTTCATTTGAAAATGTCAGTCTAGCTTCTCTGTGGAGAAAGGATTAGAAAGGAGCCAGAACAGAGGGACAAAGACCTTGTAGAACACTATTCAAATAACTCAGGAGAACATTCACAGTAGCTTGGGGTTGGTAGAAGTAATAGGTAGATGACTTCAAGGGAGATTTAGAGGCAAAGTGGACAGGTCCTGATGATGGAGTAGGGTCAGGGAGAGGACGTGTCCAGGAGGACCTCTAGATTTCAGAACATTGGAAGATAGCCAGGTTCAGAGGCGAGAGGTTAAAATACTATGAGTATGGCCTTGGGATTCAGTAGAAGGCTCCTTAGTGAACATCTAACCTGATCTGGTGTGAGTGGAAGTGGCCGGGTGTCTCAGTGTAACCTTGAGGGTTCGGTGGGTGGGTTAGGGCCTTCATTCTGTACATTTTACAAAGGGGGAAAGTGTTCAGCATTTGGATGGCAGCTGGAGGCGAGGAGGAAAACGAGATGATCATCGTGTGTCCTTATGCGGATTGGACTTGAAAGCATTCCAAATTTAATGCTCATGTGGAGGACGATGAGCTTACAAAGGAAAACAAGACAGCGGCAGAAAGGATACAAACTTTCATATAGTACAAGAGAAGCAGGATTGTGGGTTAGGTGGAATACAGGGGACGGTCTTTGTGTTTATGCCCCTATGAGGTGGAATAAAACAAGGACTGAAAATTATTTATCAGATTCAGCAGCTCATAGGTTAGTCAGAGTATTTTTGGTGGAACAGTCTATACTGAAGCCACAGTGCCTGGAATGAAAAGTGAGTAGGAAAAGGAATGGAAATAGGGAAGATGGGTAGTCCTTCCAAAATATTCAGTATTTGGCTCAAAGGAAGAGAAATAGGGAGACTGGGGTTGGGAGAAGATAAGGGAGAGAAATAGCTGGGGTTGGATGAGATGGACTAAGGAAGGATTTTAAGATAGGAAAGACGGTCATGTATGAATGTCAGTGGGAAGAGTCCTCTTAGGAGAGAGTGGTTAGAAATACAGGAGAGAAGGGTATAGTTAAGAGTGTAGGGAGTGTATGGTTCTTAGAAGAAGGGTGGGGATAGTTTCTGAAGCACAGTGGTGGGGGGTATCTTGAATAGAAGGGGACCTACTTCCTCTAGCGTAACAAGAGGAGGGAAGGAGAAGGAGGTGAGGATGAAGATGGACTTTTCAGGTTTGATAGTGGGAAGCTGAGGGAGTGCCCCTCTTTGCATTTCAGTTTCCTCTGTGAAGTTGCAGAATAGGTTTTCCAGAGGCAATGATGGTGAGAGAAGGTTTGAGTAGCAGGGAAAGCTAACCAGAGAGAAGTGCAGCAGGATTACTGGACATTGTTGGGGGCCCATTTGTAGTTGGTAGGTCTGCTATTCTTACTTTCTTAATAAACATTTTTATTTGCCTTTTTGACACATGACCTCTGGTCTAGTGGGAGATACGTGCTGAATGCTTTTCGTTAGATACATGTTAACATTTTAGGGAAGTCCTTCTAAATCCAAACCATTTTTCCTCCATGAGTTCAGGGTAGGTTTGAGCCAGCTTGGAGAGGTGGGGTGGTTTTGCTGTGGCTGAGACTTTTTTTCAGTCTGAGAGTGCTGTTCTCCATTCCATTCTAGGGAAGTATATAGTACGAGAGAATCAAGCTCTTGAGATCTTCCAGTTAGATCTTTAATGTGTGGCTTTGTTACTTTTTTCTCCCTCAAATTCCTAGGACCCCAGACACCCCTAATACGAAAATGTAAACACCTGTCCTTTCTATAGATAGACAAATGTGTTACTGTGGATTCTCCATATTTCTAATATACTCTGTTCCTAGTGGATCTGATGGTAATATTGACATTAACTATGGTGTTTGTCAAAAGCCCCATGTTGTCCTGCCTCTCGTTCCTCCTCTTCTTGGTTACCATGAAGGTGAGGTGGAAGCATGAAGTGTTATTGCTCTTTAGTCCCAGGACCCACCCCCCACAATGGAGTTGGCTGTGGCTGTTCTGAGGGACCTGCTGCGGTACGCAGCCCAACTTCCTACACTGTTCCGGGACATCTCCATGAACCACCTCCCTGGCCTTCTCACCTCCCTGCTGGGTCTCAGACCAGAGGTGAGACACCTCCCCAGTCCCTCTGCCCTTTGGCCTCGCAGTACCTCCCTAACTCTGACCACTTGGATTAAGGAATGTGATGGGAAGTGAGTGGGAAATTGGATCAAAGAAGTGAGAAGGAAGGGCCAAGAAAAAGTGTGTGGAGGAGGGACCTTGAGGGGTTGTGGGGTGGAGATGGCTTCTGTGGGGTATTGGGCTCTCACCTCCTCCTTACTTTGATTTTCCCACAGTGTGAGCTCTCAGCACTGGAGGGAATGAAGGCATGTATGACCTATTTTCCTCGGGCTTGTGGGTCTCTCAAAGTAAGTATTCATGGACATTCTTCTTTGTACCAACACAAGCCTTGTTAGCTCTCTTAACCTCAGATTCCATTGCTGAGACTTCTTTTTTTTTTTTTAAAATTTATTTATTTATCTTTAGAGGGGAAGAGAGGGAGAGAAACATCAATGTATGGTTGCCCTTTGCGCATCCCCCGCTGGGAACTGGCCTGCAACCCAGGCATGTGCCCTGACTCATTGCTGAGACTTCTAAGCACCTCTCTCTTGCTCTCTTTTTATTTATTTATTTATGTATGTATGTATGTATTTTTAGAGAGAAGGGAAGGAAGGGGAAAAGAAAGGGAGAGAAGCATTGATGTGAGAGAAGTCAGTTGCCTCCCATACATGCCCTGACTGGGGACTGAACCCACAACCTGGGCATGTGCCCTGATCAGGAATTGAAATAGCAACCTTTAAAAATTTTTTTAAAATTTTATTTTATAGAGACAGGAAAGGAGGGAAAAGGAGAAAGAAACATCAATGTGTGATTGCCTTTTGAGCACCCCCTACTTGCGACCTTGGCCTGCAACCCAGGCACGTGCCCTGACTGGGAATTGAACTGGTGACCCTATGGTTCTCAGGCTGGTACTCAACCCACTGAGCCACACTAGCCAGGGCTGAACTGGCAGCCTTTCACTTTGTAGGATGATGCTCCAACCAACCGAGCCAGACTGGTCAGGGCTACGCACCTGTCTTTTGATTGTTCTATCATTTATCTCCACAGCTATAATTATATCACCTTGTAGCATTCTGTATGTATAGATGAAGAAATTGAAATGAAATAACTTGCCTGAATTCAGTAGAGATGGGAAACTATATCTGATGCCAAAGCCCAGGCTCTTAACTGTGGGCTCCTTTCTCTTTCTCCCCTCCTCTGTACCTCTGGAGTGCCTCACCTCTTTTTCTACCATTCAGTCTTTGTCCATGAAGCTCTTGTAATTTCCTCCAGGGAGCTTTCATATTACTTCCCTGTAACAGTTTTCCAACATGTCTCCTTATATTCTTGACTCAGTTCCCCTTGTCACTTCCCCACCCTTTGCTCCAAGCTGCCCTGACCTTTACAGCATAACCTCATTCGGTTAAACAGGTAAGGTGTATGTGGGTCAGGTGAGGGAGGCCAGTGAAAGAGTTGGCTTTGTTTTCCAGGACATACACGAACGGCACCTGTTGTTTGCAGTATAATTGGATGATAGTTCATACCTAAGAATAAATTGTTCTTCTCCTGTAGAATAAATGTTTTCTGTTGTTTTGTTGTCTCATCATCGTTTGAGAAGCCACTGAGCATCCCCTTACTCAGATGGAGGCACAAATCTGAATAGAGAACTGGAATAAGTGCCAAATTAATAATTTTTGTATGGCTGTTGTGGTTAACTATGTCAGTATTATCAGTTTAAGTGGGAGTTCGCCATTCAGATTATCTTGAAAGTAAGATCATATGGGTCTGTGACCAAGTCAAGGAAGTAAAAGAAAGGGTAAGGGGACCGGTATGGGCACCGCAATGTGCCAGGCGTTGTACCGCGTGTCCGAGATGCAGCGTCGCATTTTATCATTAGAGTAGGTGTGTGGAGTTGGTGTCACCCAGCTAACCAGGGAACAGGCCCACAGGCACTTAACTGACTTAACCCGAGGTTGTGTGTGTGGTAGTTGTAAAACCAGTGTGAGCCAGATGTTTTTCCTTAAAGCCTGTGTTTTTTTTCCCCACTTAATCACACTCCCAGAAGCTTTCAAGAACACAGACAGGATTGGGAGGTAGGCTTCAACACGAACGCTGGCTCTTACCAGTTAGCGGCTTATGGAGGGTTGTGAGCCCGATGCGGGTGGTGTCCGCTGTGGCTCCAGTAACTGGACTGAAAGGTCCCTGAGCGGATGATACTACTCAGAGAACATCTTTTTGATTCTTTGTTTTTATGTGAATGCCACTAGTATCAGGTGACAGAATCTTGGCAAGACTTTGGTCAAGAACGCATTTGGAGTAACTCATGGATTTTACTGAGTTTAAGTAAAAACTGCCTTTCTTGTAGAACATTCTGTAAATTAAGTTATCAGATTATACAGGCTAGATAGATCTTTGTCTCTGACCCCTCACTGGTCAAAGTTGTGAGGTGCTATATTGACTCACCTCAGTTTGGGGTAACCTGTATCTATCTGCATCCCCCCATGAAAGTGGAGGGAGGATTGAATGTTATCTGCAGGGTCAGCATTTGAAGAGTCAGGGAGACGAGAATGCCAAGCATGTCCTCTGCTTACTTTTCATTGTGAGTGGTCAGGAGAATTCATCTATAACTTACAACCTTTTGTCGGAGGTGTAGTTTTGAAGTTATGGCCTGCATTTTGAGTATTCTTTCCAAACTGACAAAACTTTCACATGTTAACAGGGTATGTATGCCTTTATTTTTTTAAGAATGAAATGTCACCTGAAGAACTTCTTGCTGTTGACGATTTTGTCTTTGTTGCCAACATGTCAGATAGGGATCTGTTTCGTGCAGAGGTGCCAGAGGCAGTTTGTACTTGGAAAATCTTGCAGACCAGTGCTTAGGCAACCGATATTTGCCATTTTGGAATGTTTATCTGTTCTTTGTCCCATGCCCAGAAGCTCCCAGGGTAGGTGAGTCTTCAAAGTTAGGACCGATTATGCCTCCCGAGTGGTGAAACGCAAGCAATCCGAGTCCGTGGAGCCACTCCTATAGAGGCTTTACCTCTTTTTGCCAAATTGATTACCAGTTCCTGGGAATGAGTGGGAAGGCTAACCCCACTCTTGAGAGAGACCCTGGACATGCATATGCACTTGCATTTCAAGTGAACCGCTCCAGGTGAGCCATTGCTTTAGTTTGCTTGGCCCTGGGGCAGACCTGTGGTCAAAGCCATGTCCGTGTACTCTGCCTTATTGCAGTCGCATAGCAGACTTCTTTTGGCCTCAGCCCAGCTTTTGGAGTCCCAGGAGAAGTGTGAGCTGTAAACTGGCCAGAAGGGCTGAGTGCCACAACAGTTGGGGCTTTGGCAGCTCTCTAAGAAATCTTATCCTTGGAGACCTGTGGATGGATACTGTGTTTGGGTTGAAGTGTTCTGAGTCCTGCCGCATCAGACATGAAAGTACTGTCCAAGTCCCAAGGGAAATGGTTCCTGGTCGTCTTCTATCCTGGCATCGGCTATAACAGGACGTCAGCTGTAACAGTGGTTGTCTTATGGTCACCAGAATCCTGAAGTGTGATGTGGGTGACTAAGTGGTTCCTGCCCTAGGGTAGGTGGGAGGCAGTCCTTGGAGGGGTGGTTTCTGAACCACGCACTGACAGGCTTCTACTCCTGCTTTGCTTCCGTAAATCCCTTGCCATATGTCTGGTGCCACTGCTGATTTCTCTGCAGATTTGTGTGTGTGGTGCCCCCATTCTACCTTCCCCCAGAGTCCATCTTTTCTGGGCTGGGATGTGAGGCCTCAGCCTGCTTCTCTGTGGCATCTTCTGGGGCTGTAGCTTTCCTCAGTGTTTCTGCTTGCTGGCCTCGTGGGGATTCTCCCCTTTCCTTTAAGCCTGGCTCAGTCCTGCCCTCCCTAGCCCTGCCGCCCAGCATCAGTCCCTCGGGACCCCCCTTCTGCCTCATCTCCCTGCAGGGCTCCTTCTGTCCCCCAGTGTTGTCTTCCATAGACGGGTCTGCCAGACCAACCCACATCTTCCTACTGAGGGCAGAAGCCCATTTCATTCCTTTCCGTAGGTCTGCTTCAGTGTGCTTACCCCTTTTATGCCATGGTCTGCGTCTCAGAATGTTTTATAGAGGTTTTTATTTATTTTTTAGAGAGAGGGGAATGGAGGGAGAGAAACATTGATTAGTTACCTCTTATGTGCTCCCAACTGGGGACCTGTCCACAACCCAGACATGTGCGCTGACTGGGAATCAAAACAGTGACCTTTTGGTTCGCAGAGTGATGCTCAGCCCACTGAGCCACACCAGCCAAGGCTCAGAGTGTTTTTAAATTCATAAAATAAATAATACATAGACTTTTAAGGGAAACTGATTCTGTTGAAGTATATATTGTAAAAAATTGTGATAGAGTTGTATGTGCTTCTTCATTAATGTATCAAACAGGAAGATCTAGCAGCAGGTCTCATACTTACTGAATTTAAAATTAGCGATACATGTGAACACTTCAGGATACCTATTATAATTATAAGGTGAAATGAAAGTGGATGATTTCTATTGGTGACAACCAGTGGTGCTGCTAATACTACTGTGGCTTTTTGTTTATTATGCCTATAATTAATTGAAAGGAACACTACGTTTTACTTACAGGTGACTGAAAATGATATAACTTTTCCCCCATCCATTTCACAGGCCCCTTTCATTCTACCTCCAAATAAGTTGATCCCAGGTTGTGGCCCAGGTTGATCACTCCCATGGCAGCACCTTCACATAGCAGGCCGAGTAAATGTTTGCTGACTCACAGGTCGCTGCTCTGAGATGTGCTGCTTCAGTTCTTCTCCCAAGGCCCTCCCTTTTCTCTTGACCTTGACCTACCCTCACACTTCTGGTTAGAGCCTCAGCTCCCAGCTTGGACCCTCACTTCTTGCTAGGGAGTTGAGTGTGGGGGTTGCTGCTTTTCAGTATTCAGTTTCCTTTTGGCTTGAGGAAAGTCATACTCCCTGTGGCAGCAGGGAGCCCAGAAATTGTGGGGCACAGGCCAGACCCTTTCTGCACCAAGCAGGGAGGGTAAGGATGGGAGCTGACATTCAGGATGTCTTTCTACCATGAGAGCATGTCAGCGCCCCCCCCCCCTCGACCCCCTGGTGAGTGCTTTGCTTCCTGTGTCTACAGGAAAGAGGGCAGCAAGGGCTTAGATTCTGCTGCTGGGAATGGACAGGGTGAATGTTTCTGGCCCTTGGCGCTGACTCACCAGCTTTTTCCTCTCTTTTCCACAATCCAGGGCAAACTGGCCTCATTTTTCCTGTCTCGGGTGGATGCCTTGAGCCCGCAGCTCCAGCAGGTAAAGGAAAAGGCAGGAGATGAGAAGCCTAGTTGTAAGTTGGAGCTTCTCTTATCTCTCTCTCTGCATTTCTCTCTTGTTATTGCTTGGGCTGTGTTTCTACTTCCCTTTCTGTTAACATAACTCAAGAGGCACAGGCATGACTTCTGCCTCTGTGTTATACCATCTGTGTCCTTCTTTTCCATTGTCCCTTTTCTATGTTCCCTAAGGCCTCTTTGTGATCTCCAATTTTCTTGGCATTGGTGGTGCTGGGGGGTTCTGGCTGGCCTGGATTCCTGTCTGACCAAGTTTCTGACCTTCTGCAGCTGGCGTGTGAGTGTTATTCCCGGCTGCCTTCTCTAGGGGCTGGCTTTTCCCAGGGCTTGAAGCATACGGAAAGCTGGGAGCAGGAGCTACACAGCCTGCTGGCCTCATTGCACAATCTGCTAGGGGCTCTCTACGAGGGAGCAGAACCAGGTAGGGACCATGGCCGGTAGTCTGTGGCAGAGTGGTTGGAGAATGTGGCAGAAGGGAACCAGGAGGGTGACCCGGAGAGGTGGGACAGTTGATTTCTAGGCAAATGGTGCGTCATTCATTAGAAATGGAAAGGGAGGGGGTTGGAAAAAAGCCCCGGAGTGTGAAGGTGCTTATGTGTGTGTCCAGCTCCTATGCAGTATGAAGGCCCTGGAGTGGAGGTGCTGTTTTCCCCCTCAGAGGACGCTGATGCCCATAACCTTCTCCGGCTTCGGCAGAGATTTTCTGGGCTGGCCTGTTGCCTGGGGCTCCTGCTCAGGTATGTGAGTGAGCGTTGGAAGGAGTGTGGGCCTGGAGGGGGAGGGGTTTTCTGCATCATAAAGAAGGAGACTGAGGGTGTGGGTAAAGTCGTGCTGGGGAACCTATGCTGAGGGTATCCCTGCTCTGATTCTCTTTAGGTCTGAGTTTGGGGCCCCCGTGTCCATCCCCGTGCAGGAAATCCTGGATGTCATCTGCCGGACCCTCAGCATCAGTGCCAAGAATATTGTAAGTGGTGTTTGTCCTCTGTTCACAGTCCTTCCTCGGGACCCTGGGCAACCAGGACAGTAGCATGGGATCTGAAGCTCCCTAAGCGGTTGGCCTGGACAGGGCCTTTCTTTTATCCCAGTGCCATTGTTCCTTGTGCTTCTCCTGACACACCTAGTGTGGGGACACCAGTAGGTGCTTTTCTAGGGGAGGGAGAACTTGGGGGCCAGTTGCATCATTGCTGAGAGGGTCAGCCATTCCTCCCTTCGTCCTCCTGCATGGTCTGTTTTATAGGATGGGGGTTTGATCCTGTTGGGAGAGCTGGGCTCATGGGTGGGTTCCTTATGTGTGTGTGCACATGTGTTTAGTCACACATCTGCCTTGTCTCCATTTCTCACTCCGTGTCTCCCTTTCTGCCCCACTCCTTTGCCAATTTTGTCCTGCAGAGCTTGCTTGGAGATGGTCCCCTGCGGTTGCTGCTGCTGCCCTCTATCCACCTTGAAGCCTTGGACCTGCTCTCCGCGCTCATCCTTGCGTGAGTGGGACTAGGCAGAGTGTGATGAAGGCACTGGGATGTGCTGGGAATGGAGGTCACTGTTGTGTCTTCGCCCCCAGGTGTGGAGGTCGGCTCTTGCGCTTTGGGGCCCTGATCAGCCGCCTGCTTCCCCAGGTCCTCAATGCCTGGAGCATTGGTAGAGATACTCCTTCTCTGGGCCAGGAGAAGCCTTACAGGTGACCATTAAGAATGGGGGTAAAGAGGAGGGGGTGGTGAGGGACGTGGGTGGACTGGGGGTTCCAAGGGGCTGGGAGTACTGAGGGAGGAGAGGCTGGATCTGGCATGTCGACCCCCTTTGAAAAGCTGCCCTCTGCTCACTGCACAGCGCCATGCGGACCAAGGTGTATGCTGTGTTAGAGCTGTGGGTGCAGGTGTGTGGCGCCTCGGCAGGAGTGCTTCAGGGAGGAGCCTCGGGAGAGGCCCTGCTCACCCACCTGCTCAGTGACATCTCTCCTCCAGCTGATGCCCTGAAGGTGAGTGAGGCCTCCGCTTGCCTCTCCTGTGCCAGGACTCTCATCCTGCGCCCCTTGTTCAAATGAGTCTCCACATCCAGCACTGTCTCCCGTGCCTTCCTGTTTATCTGTGAATGTGATTTTTGTTTCCCTCCACCACCAGCTGCGCAGTCCCCGGGGGAGCCCTGATGGGGGCTTGCAGACGGGGAAACCCAGTGCCCCCAAGAAGCTAAAGCTGGACATGGGAGAGGCTGTGGCCCCTCCCAGCCACCGGAAAGGGGACAGCAATGCCAACAGCGATGTGTGTGCAGCTGCGCTGAGAGGTGGGTGAGGCCTGTGCCCTGCACCTTCTGGTGCTGTGATGGCCTGGGGCTGCAGCCTGCACCTGGAGGGTGCAGATAAAATGCAGAACCATCTGAAAACCTGCAGGGGGACCAAAGGGGCAGGAGTAGCCCTGCAACTCCCAGGGCTGTAGGCAGGATCTTGGACCCTGCTGTTGATGGGGTTTGGCCATTTACACTGCCCCAGCATCTCACTTATTTTGTCTGCACGTCCTCTGCACATGCTGGGGACAGTTGTGGCAAGGCAGAAATCCTTGCCCAGTGTAGTTTACATTCTGTTCAGGCAGGCTGCTCAGTGGGGTTCCCTGCTTCCTACACAGTTGCTAATCTGGAAGCAAAAGTGCAGTCAGTCAACGCGTACAGGGGACTATCATTTGGGTCCCCTGTGCATGTTATGTCACTGCCTGCCACCCCACCCCACCCCATGTAAAGAGGAGAGCCAGTGCTCCTCAGATCTACAAATGCACATTTATAATGGGCTTATAGCAGGGGCGTCAGCCTCATTTTCACTGGGGGCCACAGCCTCGTGGTTGCCTTCAAAGGGCTGAATGTAATTTTAGGACTGTATAAATGTAACTACTCCTTAACTGTTAAGCAAGAGCTCGGCGTTGCAGCTGGGTAGAAACAAGGTGCCAGGCGGATAAAACAAGGTAGAGGGCTGGATTCGGCCCGAGGGCCTTGTGTTTGCTACTTGTGGCCTACAGTATCAACAGCTCTACTTAGTATGATCCCCATTTCATAGTGGGCTTCTGTGCTGCAGAAGCCCTTGCTCTCAGTCCTCCTAGTAGCCTCTTAGACACCATTCTTCTTCCCCAGGCCTCAGCAGGACCATCCTCATGTGCGGGCCTCTCATCAAGGAGGAGACTCACAGGGTTAGTGGAGCATGGTCCTCATGGAGATTGGGGTGGGGGCAGCTGTGCCCCCAGAGGGTATCCATTCCAACTTGGGAGGAGGCCCTGGAGAAGGGTTACATAGTCTCGGTGGTGTCTGTAGTTGTGCCCTCTGTCCTTTTCAGAGACTGCATGATCTGGTCCTTCCTCTGGTCATGAGTGTCCAGCAGGGCGAGGTCTTAGGCAGCTCCCCATATACCAGCTCGCACTGCCGCCGTGAACTTTACCGCCTGCTGCTGGCTCTGCTGCTGGCACCTTCTCCTCGCTACCCACCTCCTCTTGCCTGTGCCCTGCAAGCCTTCTCCCTTGGCCAGAGAGAAGACAACCTGGAGGTAACTGCTGACTGGGGCCAAGTCTGCCTCTTTGGTTTTGGGATTCTCTTGTTCCTGGTGCTGGCAGGCTGTCTTGTGCCATGAAACCCTGTGTTCTGGAGGTTCACACTCAATTTTTCACCCTTCCTCAGGTCTCTTCTTTCTGCTCGGAAGCTCTGGTGACCTGTGCTGCTCTGACCCACCCTCGGGTTCCTCCTCTGCAGTCCATGGGCCCCACCTGCCCCCCACCTGCACCAGTTCCTCCCCCCGAGGCCCCATCTCCATTCAGGGCCCCACCTTTCCATCCCCCGGGCCCTATGCCCTCAGCAGGCACCATGCCCTCAGCTGGGCCCGTGCCCTCGGTGGGTTCCATGCCCCCAGTAGGCCCTGTGCCTCCATCACGCCCTGGACCTCCAGCCACAGCCAACCACTTAGGTCTCTCTGTCCCAGGCCTGGCATCTGTACCCCCCCGGCTCCTTCCTGGCCCCGAGAACCACCGGGCAGGCTCAAATGAGGACCCCATCCTTGCCCCTAGTGGCACTCCTCCACCTACTATACCCCCAGATGAAACCTTTGGGGGGAGAGTGCCCAGGCCAGCCTTCGTCCACTATGACAAGGAGGAGGCGTCTGATGTGGAGATCTCCTTGGAAAGCGACTCTGATGACAGTGTGGTGATCGTGCCTGAGGGGCTGCCGCCTCTGCCACTTCCACCCCCCTCAGGCACCACCCCACCCCCTGTTGCCTCAGCTGGGCCACCAACAGCCTCCCCTCCTCTATCTGCCAAGGAGGAGCCTGAAGAGCTTCCGGCAGCCCCAGGGCCTCTCCCTCCACCCCCACCCCCTCCTCTTCCAGGCCCTGTGACACTCCAGCCACCCCAGTTGGTCGCTGAAGGAACTCCTGCTGGGGGAGCACCCCCAGCCCTGGAAGAAGATTTGACAGTTATTAATATCAACAGCAGTGACGAGGAGGAGGAAGAAGAGGAGGAGGAAGAGGAGGAGGAGGAAGAGGAGGAGGAAGAAGAAGATTTTGAGGAAGAAGAAGAGGATGAAGAAGAGTATTTTGAAGAGGAAGAAGAAGAAGAAGAGTTTGAGGAGGAATTTGAGGAAGAGGAAGGTGAGCTGGAGGAAGAAGAAGAAGAGGAGGATGAAGAGGAGGAAGAAGAGTTGGAAGAGGTGGAAGAGTTGGAGTTTGGCCCAGCAGGAGGGGCGGTAGAAGAAGGAGGACCTCCACCCACCAGCCTGCCTCCAGCTCTGCCCCCGACTGAGTCCCCCAAGGTGCAGCCGGAGCCGGAGCCAGAGCCTGGGCTGCTGTTAGAAGTGGAGGAGCCAGGGGCCGGCGGGGAGCCTGGCCTCGAGACCGCACCCACATTGGCCCCTGAGGTGCTGCCCTCCCAGGAGGAGCTGGAGAGAGAATCGGGGAGCCCCCCATCAGGGCCACCTCCTCAGGAGCTTGTTGAAGAGGAGCCCTGTGCTCCCCCAACACTGCTGGAAGAGGGGATTGAGGGTGGGGGTGATGAGGTCCTGCCGCCACCAGAGACAGCTGCAGCAGAAGAAATGGAGCCTGAACCGGAGCCGGAGACCCCTGCTCCCCAGGAAAAGGTGAGTGGGCAGGTCGAGGGTGCAGCCCGGGGAAGGCTGGGTGGGGAGAAGGTGTTGCAGCTGCTCGTGTTAGGGAAGAGGTTTCTTCCCTGCTCCCCCTCTTGTGTATGTGTGGGAGACCATTTCTAACCTTATGTCTTTGTCTCTAAAAGGAGCAGGATGACACAGCTGCCATGCTGGCTGACTTCATCGATTGTCCTCCTGATGACGAGAAGCCACCACCTGTCACGGAGCCTGATTCCTAGTCCTTTCCTACGCCCCCCACTCGTTCCCAATAAACTTATGTACTTGGATATCGACTGCAGCTTCTGCCTTTTGCCACAACTGTGCCACCAGCCAGAAGCCCCACTGTCTGCGGGCTTTTCAAGGTATCCAGAATATTCCTCAAGTGTTTCCATAGCTGTTCTGTTGTCTCCACTGTCCGGAGGAGGAACCATCGACTTAAAGAGTTTAGTCATTGAATTCTGTGAAATTTGAAACTTGGATGTACCAAATTTAAGGGGCGCCCATGGTGGGTATGGGGAATGAACTCTGTTCTGGGCCTGGTCCTTCTAGTGACAACATCCCAGCCTCGTTCCTCTTCCCTGCCTCCCCCAGCACCCTCCTGACAAGAATTTGACAAGCTCACCCTAGGCCTTCCTACCCATTCTTGAGATTTGGACATTTTCCAGCCAGTGTCTGATCCCTGTAAACAGTTCTGTTCATTCTAGGCCTTGCTGGGATGCACGTGTGAGCATGAACATAGAGGTGTGTACATGAGAGGGTATCGAAATCTGTGGGCTTGAGGTGAATGCTCCTGATTTTTTCAGTCTGTTGAAGGATGAACATGCGTAAAGGACCTTGGAACTGCAGCGAAGGGAGTGTGACTGTCCGACTGCGTGTGCACTGAAGGGCCTCTGAGAAGTGACGTTTGTGCTAATTTGGGAAACTTAGGGGTTTCAAAAAATTTCCCCCAACTTGTTATTCTAAAAAATTTCCAACATGCAGAAAAGTTGGAAGAATAGTACAGTATAATACTTTTGCCTAGATTCATCGGTTGTTAACATTTTTTCATGTTAGCTTTTATCTCTATGATGTCCGTATAGCTACATATAGGCATGTATTTATATGTACATAACTCTGTCTGTAATCAATACATATGTATATCTGCACACATTTCCTTTATTGTGGGGCCATGTAAAAAGTGACTTGCACCTCTCCCTTCTTCAACATTGTCTCCTACGGTTAAAGACATTTTTCTACTTAATCACAATACCACCATCGGTCCTAAGAAAAGTCATAGTAATAAAATAATGTTGTATGTACTATATTGTGATAATCAAGTGTCCTGTTTATCTCTAAAATATCTTTGATAGCTGTTTGTTTGTTTTTCTCAGATTTAAGTTCAAGAGTGTTCTTAGGTGGAAAGGGCCCCTGCGGCCTCGGGCTCACTGCAGGGATGGGTGCAGAGGGGTGAAAACTCCTGCAGTAGCAATTCTTCAAAAACGTAAAGACCCTGAATTCTGGGAACTGTAGCTGTGGAAGGGTGGTGATTCTGAGGAAGAGGCCAGGACAGGAAGTTTTAAATGTAAATTGCACCGTGACTAGGTAATGTTCATGTAGTTCAGAACCCAGAAGGTGCAAAATGTTGGAAAGTCTTCACCCTGTTCCCCAGTCACCAGGAGCAGCCGGTAGCATCAGTTTTCACTTACTCATCCAGAGATAATATATGCAGACAGAAGCAATTATGTATAAAAATCCTTTTATTTTTCTCACAATGATAGTATTTTATTACTTAATATAAATCACTTAATTTCACTAAGTCATGGGATTTATTCAGCAAATTTTGAGTGCCAGGCACTTGGCACTGTTTTCTCATATATTTTTTATATAAATATATTAAAATATATAAATATGAATATATATATATTTAAATGATTGGCTCACAGGAGGTTGCAGATAGCACAGGGAGGGAGGGAGGGAGGAAGGGAGGGACAAGACGCCCTTTGCCCTGCCTCCCCCAGTGGCTACATCTGACAGGATTATAGTGCATTGTGAAAACCAGGAATCTGGTGGTGCAATGGTGATAGGCGCTTGTTTTACAAGAAATAGAGTGGTGAGTGAAACAGAAATCCCTGTTTGGCCCCTAATGGGGCTTAAATTCTCTTCTGTTGTGTGTGAGGTTGACCATAAGTACAGTGGGCATTAGATGTTAGTGCAGGGGGAAGCAAGGAAAGGGGAATTGGTTTATGTGGGTGTGTTTCAACATTTTGAAGAATTTCAAATCTTAGGAAAAGCTAAAAGAATCAGAGAACAGCCATATGTCTACCATGTTCTGCACTGTTATGTGCGTCTGTGCAGTTTTAAGTAGGGCAGTCAAGGAAGTTCTGGCCGAGAAGGTGACTGAATAGAGACCTGAAGGAGTTGAGGGAGAACAGTCTGGGGGAAGGGTTTCCAGGCAGAGAGTGCTGGTGAAGACAAGGTTCTGAAGCCAGGAGCATTTTGGGGTGTTAAAGGAAAGGGAGACCAGCAGGGTTGAAAAGGAGAAGAGGTCAGAGAGAGGTTGGGAGTAGGAATGAGGAGACAGTGATGTGCTTATGGCTACTCAGTGAGGGAGCAAAGCACCTGGAGCGTTTGGAGAACAGACTGGGCACCCTGTGGTTTAATGTCTGAGCAGGACCCGGCTGCTCTTGGGAACTAGGTGACCGGGAGTAAGGGTGGTAGCTGAGACTCCAGTGAGGGGCTGATTCAGCCAGGAGAGACGATGTCTTAGGCCAAGCAAGTCTTGGAGAAGTGGTTGGATTCTAGATTTCTTTTCTAGATAATTTCTGAAGGTAGATGGCAGACTTTGAAGATCATTCCATTTTAGTTTATAAAGTGCTTCCTCATTCTTTTAAAAATGTGTAAAGGACCCATGGACAAAGACAAAGGTAGGTAGGATTGAATGTGGGAGGTGGGAGGTGGCTAGGGCAGGGGAGAGGAATGGGGGGGGGGGCAATGGGGACAACTGTAAACCAGAAAAAAGGAAGAGGAAGGAAAGAAAAAAAGGAGTGAATGAATGAATATATAGCTGTTTATGCCCTGGTTGGTGTGACTAGTGGATTGAGCACTGGCGTGTGATCAGAAGGGTCACTGGTTTGATTCCCTGTCAGGGCACATGCTTGGGTGTGGGCCAGGTCCTTGGTTGGGGGTGCATGAGAGGAACCCAGCTGATATTTCTGTTGCTCATCAATGATTCTCTCCCTCTCTTTCTCCCTCCCCCTCTCTGAAAATAAGTCTTAAAAATATATATACATATATATAACTGTCTAGAATTTCATTATACCATAGTTTATTTAACCAGTCCCTGAACAATTTGATTAATTCCCTATCTTTCACTGCCAAAAAATGAGTGGACACGTACATGTCTATGAATAACATGGGCACATGTCATTTGCATGGAAGGGTCTGCTGGGTGAATTCTGGAGCAGAACTGTTGAGTTTTGGATGTTGTACCAATTTTTGCCCCATTAGGAATACCAGTGTTCCCCGAACTGTTGCTGATGTGTGTTAGCAAACTTTGTCACCTTTGCCAATGTGTTCTATGGAAATGGCACATCTCTCTGTAACTTATTTCTCACGAGAGAGTTTGAGCTCCATCGGAAACATCTTTCTGATGTTTAAGATTCTAAATTTACTTTTCCATGAAATGTCCACATGCTTTGCCTATTCAGTTGTTGATTTATTTCCTTGTTTCATAGATTTTTACATATTAGGAAATTTTGCCCTTTTGTCTATATGTGAGTTGCATTTTTTGACAGTTTGCTTTTGTCTTTTGACTGCTGATAGTGGGTTTTGCCATGCTGACAGTTTTTATTTTTATTAAACAAATTAATCAGTCTTTTAATTAAAACTCCTGGGTTTTGAGTAATTGTTTTAAAAAAGTCCTCACCATTCTGAGATTGTTACAAGGTGCTAACGCTTTTTTTAGTATTTTTATGATGCCATACTTTTATAATAATTCTTTTATGGTTTTAGTTTTCACATTTAAATCTTTTATCCATTTGGAACTTACCCTAGTACAGGTCCAACTTCACTGTTTTATCTAAATGTCGTCTGTGGAGCAGTCCATCTTTCCCTGATGTGAAAGGCCACCTTTATTATGTCCTAAATTTCTCTATGTATTTGGATCTATTTCTTGACCTTGTGTTCTATTCCATTGGTCTGCCTGTGTATACTTATTGTGGTTTTATGAACTATTCTAGTATGTTAGGAAGAGTAGGTTAGGTTATTAAGGTGAGTTTCAGCTTCACTTTGGGGAAAAATAAGTTGATTGGAGCCAAAATGGGTTCACTGTTCAGAACAGGGCCTGTCAGACTAGCTCTTCTGGGGTTTTGGGTTGCTAATCCTGGAGATGGGAGAGCACTTGCCTTCACAAGCTCCCCAACACTCTCACAGTATGAGAACACTGGCTGAATACAGGGTGGAGCAAAAGTAGGTTTACAGTTGTGAGTATGTGAAACAGTTTATTCTCGTATTATTTTTATTATTTTATTTTCCATACCAGTCACTGTAAACCGACTTTTGCCTCACTCTGTATTAGGATAGTTAATAAATTATTCAAGCAGTTAATAACCAAATCCAAACACTAACAAATCAGGGCTATTCTGTAGATTTCTTGGAGGTATGCTCCAGACCTAATTCACAATCATGTAAATAACTTGGATGTGGAATCTGTTTATTAAATTTTTATGGGACACAAAGTTGGAATGTTAGCATATATTTTGTTATTTGACAAGGAATTTAAAGAAGTGCATGGTAGAATTTCATAGGGATCAGAGTATGGTTCTTGTTTTTGGGCTCTGCAAACAATTGCACAATATAGGAAGATGTGGCTTAGCAGAGGATTCAGAGGTAGGTGAGGGACTTGGGAGAGCCTTTCTCCTTCAGGTTTCTTGAATCGAGCTGGATGGAGCCAGGCAGGTGGTAATTAAAGGCGGAATGGGGGAGGGGGGCAGGGTTGGATGGGTCTGTGGTTTGGGAAGATGTGCTCAGGAATTTGGGCTTTGTTCTCTGGGTAGCAGGGATTCCTTTCAAGTTTAATGGTGAGGAGGGAGGTGACTAGCTCTGTTTTCTGTCAACTTTGGCAACTGGCAACCGGTGGAGGAGGGCTGGAGCCTAAGAGATCAGAGGAAATATGCACCGGTCCAGGCAGTAGCCATGCTGCGAATGGGAGGTCTGGCTACTCTGGCGTCCAAGGGTGCCCCTGGTTTGCTGTCTAGGATAGGGCTGCTGGGCTGCTGTGTTGGCCTTTTCTTTCTTTCTTTCTTTCTTTCTTTCTTTCTTTCTTTCTTTCTTTCTTTCTTTCTTTCTTTCTTTCTTTCTTTCTTTCTTTCTTTCTTTCTTTCTCTCTCTCTCTCTCTCTCTCTCTCTCTCTCTCTCTCTCTCTCTTTCTCTCTTTCTCTCTCTTTCTCTCTCTCTCTCTCTCTCTCTCTCTCTTTCCTTTCTTTCTTTCCTTTCTTTCCTTTCTTTCTTTCCTTTCTTTCTTATTTATTTACTTATTTATTTAAGATTTTATTTATTTACTTTTAGAGAGAGAGGAAAGTTGGAGAAAGAAGTGGGAGAAAGGGAGAGAAATATCAGTGTTGGGTTGCGTCTCATGTGCTCCAGCCAGGGACTGGGCCACAACCCAGGCGTGTGCCCTGACCAGGAATTGAACTGGCAAACTTTTGCTTTGTGGGACAGCACCCAACCACTGAACCATGCCAGTCAGGGAATGGAGTCTTGAATCGCATCAGTTTTGGGAACTCTTGCCAAAGGCTGGCTAGGCCTCACCTGGGAGCAATCTCTAGGTCTTTGTGCTTTTCCTCAGGAAGAGCTAGCTCCCTGGCCCAGGCCTTTAGTCTTCTGTTGTCAGTACAATGTGTCCATCTTTATTACTTATTACACCGTTCCCCACCTCCACCCCCAAGTTGGGGCTCTTTTGGGAGACTAGCCAGCTGGAAATGGTAAATAATCCCCTAAATGGCAGGACCTGTAGCCCACATAGGAGTAATTTTGGGGTTTATTGAGTGCTTATGGTGTATAAGCAGGGAGCCAGGCATTGGGGGGATGATACATTAATCAAGATCTTTCTCTAAACCACAGGTGGCAAACATGAGGCCCATGGCCGAATCCAGCCCAGTGCTTTGTTTTTCTTGTGCCCCCCACCGGCAGCACTGAGCTCCTTGCCCTTAGCCCCTAGGTAAGGAACAGTTACATTCATACAGTCCTAAAATTACATTCAGCCCTTTGAAGGCAACCACGAGGTTGGTGTGCCCCCCCCCCGTGAAAATGAGTTTCACAC